CTGACCCAAGGACCTCACAACTATTTCCAAACCAGCCTGGGAGATGGCAACGGAGGGGAAGATAATAAGAAGCAAAAACAAATTGCCAAGTTTACAGGCAGCTGAGCTGCTGAGCTTGTTGACCGAAAAGTCACAGGTTCGATTCCGCGGTGGGCGTGAGCTTCCGCTGTCAGCCCCAGCTTCTGCCAACCTAGCAGTTCGAAAACATGCAAATGTGAGTAGATCAAGAGGTACTGCTCCGGCGGGAAGGTAACTGAAAAAGTCTCCCCTGGCTTATACTCGGGTCAATATTATTTATTATTTTACTTTGTTGTTATTGTTATTACATTTATTATTTTATTATTGTTTTTGTTATTACATTTATTATTTTACTCTATTATTGTTGTTGTTGTTACATTTATTATTTTACTGTATTTTACTCTATTTTTCCAGTCCTTTTTTTAGGCTGAAAAAGTCTCCCCTGGCTTATACTCGGGTCAATATTATTTATTATCTTACTTTGTTGTTTTTATTACACTTATTATTTTACTCTATTATTATTGTTATTATTACATGTATTATTTTTACTCTATTGTTATTATTACGTTTATTATTTTACTCTATTATTATTACATGTAAGCATATTTCATAGAATCATAGAATCAAAGAGTTGGAAGAGACCTCCTGGTCCATCCAGTCCAACCCCATTCTGCCAAGAAGCAGGAATATTGCATTCAAATCACCCCTGACAGATGGCCATCCAGCCTCTGCTTAAAAGCTTCCAAAGAAGGAGCCTCCACCACACTCCGGGGCAGAGAGTTCCACTGCTGAACGGCTCTCACAGTCAGGAAGTTCTTCCTAATGTTCAGATGGAATTCCTCTCTTGTAGTTTGAAGCCATTGTTCTGCGTCCTAGTCTCCAAGAAGCAGAAAACAAGCTTGCTCCCTCCTCCCTGTGGCTTCCTCTCACATATTTATACATGGCTATCATATCTTCTCAGCATTCTCTTCTTCAGGCTTATTATTTTACTCTATTTATTATTGGAGGACATGTAAGCATATTTACATTGAAGAAGGTTAGAATAATGGTTTAATCAGAGTTGGACAGTCTTATCTTGAATTACAGTTTTATGTAAATATTCAAAAACATTTAACCTACTGATGCCTAAATTAATATAATTTTATTGGTATCTATTTTTATTTTGAAATTGACCAGTAAATGCTGCATTTCCCACCCTCGGCTTATACTCGAGTCAATACGTTTTCCCAGTTTTTTGTGGTAAAATTAGGTGCCTCGGCTTATATTCGGGTCGGCTTATACTCGAGTATATACGGTAACATGAATTAAGAGTACTATTATAATATGGGTGACAGAGTGGGTTAAACCACTGAGCTGCTGAACTTGCTGACCGAAAGAATGGCGGTTTGAATGCGGGGAGCAGAGCGAGCTCCCGCTGTTAGCCCTATCTCTTGCCAACCAAGCAGTTCAAAAACATGCAAATGTGAGTAGATCAATAGGTAAGGTAACAGCGCTCCATGCAGTCATGCCAGCCACATGACCTTGGAGGTGTTTATGGACAACGCCGGCTCTTCAGCTTAGAAATGGAGATGAGCACCAGAGTCCCAGAGTCAGACATGGCTGGACTTAATGTCAGGGGACAACCTTTACCTTTACCTAAATTACCCCAGGTGACTGCCATTCTCTCCCATTTGAGGGAGTAAGGTCAGTCTTTTGGCAAAGAGCGCCCAAAAAGATCTTGGTGTCCTCATGGACTGCAAGTTAAACATGAGCTAACAATGTGATGTGGCGGCAAAAAAAGCCAATGGGATTTTGGCCTGCATCAAGAGGAGCCTAGTGTCTAGATCTAGGGAAGTCATGCTCCCCATGCTCTATTCCTCTTTGGTTAGACCACACCTGGAATATTGTGTCCAATTCTGGGCACCACAATTGAAGATAAATATGGACAAGCTGGGATGTGTCCAGAGGAGGGCGACTCAAATGATCCTGGGTCTGGAGAACAAGCCCTATGAGGAGCGGCTTAAAGAGCTGGGCATGTTTAGCCTGAAGAAGAGAAGGCTGAGAGGAGATATGATAGCCATGTATAAATATGTGAGAGGAAGCCACAGGGGGGAGGGAGCAAGCTTGTTTTCTGCTTCCCTGGAGACTAGGACGCGGAACAATGGCTTCAAACTACAAGAGAGGAGATTCCATCTGAACATGAGTAGAACTTCCTGACTGTGAGAGCCATTCAGCAGTGGAACTCTCTGCCCCGGAGTGTGGTGGAGGCTCCTTCTTTGGAAGCTTTTAAACAGAGGCTGGATGGCCATCTGTCAGGGGTGATTTGAATGCAATATTCCTGCTTCTTGGCAGGGGGTTGGACTGGATGGCCCAGAGGTCTCTTCCAACTCTTTGATTCTATGATTCTATGATTCTATGACCGCAAAACTCCATCTGGAAATAAAGGGGTGGGGGTGTGGGGGGTGGGTGGAAATACATTGTTCGGGGAGCTCAGAAAACCACAGTTTTTCCTAAAGGGAGGTGGGTATTTCCTTATCCCTCCCTCTATGGTCCTCCTCCTGGTTCTCGAGTCAAGCAAAGTTTATCCTCAGCTGCCACCAAAATGCCCCTTGGAATGCCGGATGGCGCCACGCAGCCGGGCGGCACTGATACGGGCGCAATTAAGGCTGGCACTAGACGGGGCATTTGGGGCAAGGAGCAATGGGTGGCATCACACGCGGCTCGGGAGCCGCACCCTGAACGGTGCCGTGGAGTCCAGCAGGGCTGGACTAGATGACCATTGAGATTCCTCCCAACTCCCAACCGGGTGGCACTGATACGAGTTCAATTAAGGCTGGCACTAGACGGGGCATTTGGGGCAAGGAGCAATGGGTGGCATCACACGCGGCTCGGGAGCCGCACCCTGAACGGTGCCGTGGAGTCCAGCAGGGCTGGACTAGATGACCATTGAGATTCCTCCCAACTCCCAACCGGGTGGCACTGATACGAGCTCAATTAAGGCTGGCACTAGACGGGGCATTTGGGGCAAGGAGCAATGGGTGGCATCACACGCGGCTCGGGAGCCGCACCCTGAACGGTGCCGTGGAGTCCAGCAGGGCTGGACTAGATGACCAGTGAGGTTGCCTCAAACTCTGGGATTCTCTGAACAGTCAAGCAGAGCTGAAAGTTTGCTTTTGCTTTGGTTCTCAACATTTCCAATGCAGTTCCTTGTGTTGTGGTGACCCCCAACCAGAACACAATTTTCATTGCTACTTCGTAACTCTAATTTTGCTACTGTTATGAATTGGCATGTAAATATCTGATCTACAGGATGTATTTTCATTCACTGGACCAAATTTGACTCAAACACCAAATATGTCCAAATTTGAATACCGGTGAGATTGGCGGGGGGATTGATTTTGTCATTTGGGAGCTATAGTTCCTGGGATTTATAGTTCACCTACAATCAAAGAGCATTTGGAACCTCACCAACGATAGAATTGGGCCAAACTTCCCACACAGAGCCCCCTTGACCAACAGAAAATACTGTGTTTGCTAACATGTATTGCAACAGCAGCTAGAATTATTTTTGCAAAATTTTGGAAAAAAGAACAAATCCCTATTATTGATGAGAAATAAGTGACATGGATGAATTAACTTTTTTGTTAAAGAGAAATACCGGGAAATCTGTAAAAAGGACAGATTGGGTCCTTGTTTATGACTACGAAAAGAATAGAAAAACAATAGGGACAAAGAAGATGTAACCAAAATAACGAAACAAAAGATAAGAAGATCCTGAGATTGGGATGGAAGTCATTTTATTTTGGGTTGTTGTAGGTTTTTCTGGGCTATATGGCCATGTTCTGGAGGCAATTTTTCTCCTGACATTTCGCCTGCATCTATGGCAAGCATCCTCAGAGGTAGTGAGGTATTTGCATTTGAACTGCTAGGTTGGCAGTAGCTCAGAGCTTCCGGATCCAGCTTTCATACTATTACCCGGGCAAGGGACATCTAGGAGCTCCTGGTGGTGCAGCGGGTTAAAGCACTGAGCTGCTGAATTTGTTGATTGAAAGGTTGCAGGTTCAAATCTGGGGAGGATGGATGGATGGATGGATAGATGGATAGATGGATAGATGGATAGATGGATAGATGGATAGATGGATAGATGGATAGATGGATAGATAGATAGATAGATAGATAGATAGATAGATAGATAGATAGATATGCCAACAGCTCTGCAGCCCCATGTTTTGCTAGTTACTTGGATAGATGGATAGATAGATAGATAGATAGATAGATAGATAGATAGATAGATAGATAGATAGATAGATAGATAGATAGATAGATAGATAGATATGCCAACAGCTCTGCAGCCCCATGTTTTGCTAGTTACTTGGATAGATGGATAGATAGATAGATAGATAGATAGATAGATAGATAGATAGATAGATATGCCAACAGCTCTGCAGCCCCATGTTTTGCTAGTTACTTGGATAGATGGATAGATAGATAGATAGATAGATAGAAGATACATAGAAAGAAAGATAGATGATAGATAGATAGATAGATAAATAGATAGATAGATAGATAGATAGATAGATAGATAGATAGATAGATAGATAGATAGATAGATGATAGATAGATATAGATAGATAGATAGATAGATAGATAGATAGATAGATAGATAGATAGATACTAGATGGATAGATATGGTAGAGTTAGGATAGATAGATGGATAGACGGATAGATAGATAGATAGATAGATAGATAGATAGATAGATAGATAGATAGATAGATATGCCAACAGCTCTGCAGCCCCATGTTTTGCTAGTTACTTGGATAGAGGATAGATAGATAGATAGATAGATAGATAGATAGATAGACAGATGATAGATATGCCAACAGCTCTGCAGCCCCATGTTTTGCTAGTTACTTGGATAGATGGATAGATAGATAGATAGATAGATAGATAGATGATAGATATGCCAACAGCTCTGCAGCCCCATGTTTTGCTGGTTACTTACAGTTGCCACAGGGCCGGCCTCCGTGCCACTCCTGCCCCGTATCTGCCCAGCAGCTCCGGCCCCTGGCTGCGTATTCGCTCCCGGCCTTGGAGAAGTTCCCGACTTGGGACCCATAGTAAATGCTCTGGGTTCCCAATCCGTTGAATCCGCCAACATGGGAGTAGCCGGGCAAAAGGGCGCTGTTGGGCGCAGCCAGTGGCCTGCTCAGGATGTCGCTGATGCCGTGCGGTGTGCCGGCTGCCAGCTGGGCACTGAGCCCCGAAGGGCTGAGCTTGTAGAAGGAGTTCTGCACCGAATACTGGCACATGGGTGCCTTGACTTCCGGGAAAGAGGCAAGGGAGGCATTGTTGAGCAGGAAGGTGCCCTGCAGATTGGAGTCCATTGCTGTGCCGCTTGCTGGCTTCGGATGGCAGCGTAATCTAGGCTTCTTCCAGGAGGGCACCGTGCGCTGGCAGTGCCATGCTCCTAAAGCCACGGGGGTCTTCTTGGTGCTCTGGCTCAGCAGGACCTCCTTCGCTGGCACCTTGGCTGTGGCGCAAGTCCATTGGGTGCCCGGCTAGCAGACGTCCCCATGCCCAAGCAGACTCTGAAGCCAAAGCTGGTCGGTCACCAAGTTGAACTTCAAGGGGAGCTACCTTTCCCCGGATAAGAGATGGGGCTCATTAGAATGCCGGCCCTCGGATAGGCTGGTGCGCCGGGTGCCCGGCCTCCTCCCATGGGGCTGGCCCAGGGCAGGACCTGGATTGGCTGCTCCCAGATAAATTACCCTCTGAGAGATCGACGGTCAACACCACCAGAACCTTAACGCTTGGGTGGCGCTGGAGTGAATAGACGGAGCCTGCCATTGCCTTGGATGGGTGATGGATTATGGAGCGGGAGGGGTGTGCATATATGTATGCGTGTGTGCGTGTGTTTCAGAGAGAGAGAGAGAGAGAGAGAGAGAGAAGGCAACTCTGCAGCATTGTAGTAGACGGACTGAATATCGGAAGGACCTTGGACGGGGAAACTGGATGAGGCAGTCGCTTCACACAACTGATGTGCTTAGTCAAGATGGGAGGGAAGGGAGAAGCAAAGAGGATGGCGGCCAATCCACTGGGAAGGTCTCGTGAAAAGCTTTGTGAAAAGTAGGCCTGGGTAACAACGGAAAAATTTGTTTCTAAACTCGATTCGTTTTTTGGG